AATTCAAAAGGGATTCGCTGATACTTCATATAGTATCCACTCCCCTCGTCCATCTCTCTCTCTCTCTCTTCTCTCTCTCTCTTCTCTCTCTCTCTCTCTTCTCCCTCTTCTCCCACTTTCTCATGATCCATCATGTTTATTAAAAGAAAAGGTTTACTGAAAAAAAAAGGATAACAGTGATATGCAGTAAACCTTTTCTTATATATAAATATATATAAAGATAGATAGATAGGCAAAGGGCCCCACATTTTTTTTAGTAGCCATCGCCTCTGGCTGCTTGAATTCTTTTCCTCGGTAATTAATGAGCGACGCTTGTTGTCACAGTGACGTCGATGACGCCGACGATGAGAATAAAGTAAGCTCTCTTTGTCTTTTCCTTTACACAGTTCTGACTCCCACCCTACCGCATCTTCCTACCATTCGTATAAATTTTTAAAGCTGCACCCTTCTGAGCACTATTTCGTAACCATACCAACTTCTCTTCTCTCTCTTGAATTTCGAAAGTGATTCATGCGTAGCGGCTTAATGATATGGAAAGTGGTTATAGAGTTGCTGTGGCGTTACGGAAATAGTGCGGGGGAAGTGGACGGGGACGAGTCATTTGAAACACGGTGGGAAACAAAAGTAAATCATCGTTAATTATTTTTGACTTCGAGGTCAGTAGCATGTGGAAACAATTTTTTTTTTTTTTAAGTTCCTGCGTCGAGCTTCTGATCGCGAGGTAATCGACGGCCTTTAAAAATTCAGACCGGAAGAATAAAGAGCAGAGGACATAAGGTATAACGGTTTCGCCCTATCAAATTCTTCTTCCTGCTCCCATCTCCATGAATTCCGCATGCGACCAAGCCTCCCTTAATAATGCGGCTCATCTCCTCATCCTCCCCGAAGCGCTATGTTTATGGTAAAACCACTATCTCCGACTCCCCGGTGCATTAGCAGCCAAATGATAAAAAGTGAAAGGGCCACCGACACGTGGCTCCGAACCTTATCGACTTGACGCTACAAAGTTCTACGAGTCTCGATTGGATCGATTAATTTCTGAGGGTGAGGCGTGCCTTGCCGGTACTTTATCGTCGTTTGTCGCTTTCTAGGTCTATTCGACCATTTGATAAGAGAACCCCGATAGAGAGACGATAGATACCTTAAATAAGAACGTGGCTTCCCTTTCACGATCTATAGCCTAAACCTATGGCACGCGTAGAGCTTTTCATGTTTGCATCATTACAAAAGCCTAATGTTACAATAATTAACGATTGGGGTGAAATTTCTTTTCCGACAATTTTATCGTTAATGGTGCCAGTGGAACATGCCTCCCAACTTTTGAAGTACAACGTGGACGACAGCAGTAACTACGACGACGAAGACGACAACAACAACAACGACAACGACAACGACAACGACAACGACAACAACAACGACAACAACAATAATAACAATAACATGCACGGTGTGTATTGATTGCACGAGTGGAAAAGTAATCGCATTAAAAGCTAAAATACATATTATTAAACATCGATTTAATGGTTTTATTAAAACTTCCAATGAGAATTGAGAAACTGAATTTAATTTCCGGTTTTGATTATTCTCATATTTATTAAGGACAATGGGTAGAGATAGTATTTTTAAAGACGACGGCTCGTAAGATAACGTGTAATTTACCGCTAAGAAATTAAAACTCCTTCCTCGATCTCCCACAAAGGATAACAATCTGTTAATAGTGTTGCGAATGCCAAGAGAAAAACTATTTCAGAAATTTGAAATCGATAAAAGCCCCATAATATAGATATTCATCTTAAAATCTTGGGATGAATCGAGCCAAGCTATAAGCAATAAATCATCTCCAGCCTGCCTAAGCTATTTCATAATTAATTTTCATGACCCGTAAGTATCAAGTACGAAAATAATTTCCATCGTTCCTGCAAACTGATGTCTTTTAAGCTTCGACGTCATATTGAAAAAGCCACTTAAATAACTTTCCAAGTCATTTTAAAATACTTGCCGCATTTACATACACCAACAAAAGATATCCGATATATCATTACTTTTGCACGCGCATTAAGAGATTAAATGCTTCACAAGATACTCGAAATATATAACACGACGGCCCCTTTTAGCTCTTCTTAATTTATTATATATATATATATATATATATAAAAAAAAAAAAAAAAAAAAAAAAAAAAAAAATGAAAAAGAAAAAATCCCAACCAATTATAAATGACGCCATTTGCTGCTTTCCGCGCGATTGTACCGGCAAACCTTACCAACGTCGCACTCTGGCCTCCTTATTAATTCTCGGACCTCGGCGACAGGCACAAGGAAAGCCAAAACCCGTAGCGTAGGTATCTCCGTCATCATACCTCCCGGGACATCCATTATCGTTACGCGAAATAAAACACGAAGACCCCGGATTAATTAGGAATAGGATAACCGGGACGGAAGTCCTCGGGGAAACAAGTGTCGCGCGACGGCCCTGAAATAATAGCGAACCCGGATTATGCGGAACGGCCGCGAATAGGCGATCGATAGGTCCCGTCTATCGATCTAAGGGGCTTCTTTTCCAGATGCTGTCTCCCTCTCTATCTCCTCGCTCCTCGAGATTTTCGGCCAAATTTCTTTCACGAACTCGGCGGGACACTTACCCGGGCCTTCCCACGCCTACGCATTACCACTTCTTTCGCCGAACAACTCGAACGCGCCGACACGAAAAGGTCCCACACCGCGTGAGTACTTTAGTGGGAACTGTGCGCTCCAACCTTCCATCTTCCCGGGTATGCCTTGCGTGCATACAGAGTGTCAAGTGTCAACGCAACGAGCCTGTGGACTTTCGTTCGGATTTTTCCATACGAAGGATCAATATAAAATACATCTCGCGCTCATTTTTAAGGTCGCGGTGAGTAGCGGCGACAATGGCTCTCGAGGGCCATGCGAGATCTGAAAAATTAAGCGTCATTCCCGCGCACGATAAACAACGCGCTTACGCGGCCTCGCGCAGGTGCGTCCGAAGGGAAAGTGCCGCGCTCGGATAGCGCCACCACGCCACTTTCGTACGCCTTCGACGCACACTCGTCCGCGCGTACACACACGCCGGATCATTAGTTTACGGTCCCCAAAGGGCTCGAGAGCCGTAGGAGGATAGAGAGGCGCACGACTGACACGGCCGGAACTTGTAATTGGAGGACAGGAAGTGCCTGGCCCTTTACGATCGTCTCCACCTCCAATATCACCCCCCCCCCCCCCCCCCCCCCCCCCACACCACCCCCCCCCCCACACCATTGTCACGACATCAACGCGAATCACATAAATTACTTCGTATCGCTACAATGACGCAAGAGATTTAAGAAGTCCACTCTGCTGCTCAACCACCCCAGAGCCGTTGCCCTGTTTTATTGGACCGAGGAGACCGCGCGACTCTTCCGCGTCTCTTGACGTGGCGAATTTTAAAAATCACGTCGACCCACCCGTTATTTTTCACTTCAAAGTGCTTCGAGGCTCCTCGGCAATCAGCGGCGCGGAATTAGTCGTCCGTTGCGCGCACCCGTTGGCAGCTGAAAATTGCTCGACTCTCAATGCCTTGCTGAAAAATGTCAACGAGAGCCAATATTTTATTCAAAACCTACGATGATTTTCGATTTGAAAACTCTCGGTGATGGGAAGAGGTGGCATGGAGAGTGTGGCCGGGGCAAATTTTTACTTGCAGACAATGAAGAAAACCATTTGTGATCGATTGTACTTTATTTAGTTACCGTGGATGTCTGATTATTAAAAACAAACTGTGGATTATACGTAAATATGACGTGAGCCACGATGACATATTTAAATGTTTAATGCTTAAATCATTGATTCTCGTTACGTTTTAATAGTTTTGTTTTATTTTTATTTGTTGTTTTTTCTTTAACACAGAACGCGCGCGCGAACTCGTAAGCGAAACAAACGAAGCAGCATCCTCCGAGTAAATTACTTCTCATGGATAAAAACATTCGGAGTGACTCTCGTTTCGCTCAAAACGACCGAATCCATTCTCGGTGAGCATCCAAAGCCATTTTCACGTATCCTATCAGCCCCATCTGCCTCGACGTCACGGCAGCTTTTTCCACGGTCGAATCTCGATTTAGCCTCGGTAATCTTCTCACTTAATTCAGCCACGAATCTGAAAAATCCAATAGTTCTTTCTTGCCCAGAGAAATGCTCCATCAAGGTGAACGCACTACTTTTCGTTGGCGTTCTCGCGATGGGAGTCCCTCCCTCCCTCACTCCTCCATCTTTCCATATCGGGAATCAAAGCTCGTAAGTAGTCGTGCACATTGAAAGTTTTGACGGCAGCAGCTGGGAAAAAATACCCGGCAGCATCGATTTTCAGTGCTTTTTCACGGCGTATCGCATTATTTAATCAGCGATATTGCTAATTTTTGTTTGCCAACGTTTATTCATCGTAGCGGCAAACAAATATAAAACAAACAACATAAGCAACAACAAAATAAATAAAAAAAAAGAAGAAAATCCTCCTACTTCGATTACGCACTCCGATTTTTTCATCTCTTGACACTCGTCGTTATTGTTAAAATTTCCTCCTTGTCCCTGTTGGCCGAGATGCATGGCTCGGCACTTATTAGCTCGGCCAGGCGGCGATCGATTCCACCCTGGATTTCCAGGTAAAGTCCAAAGCCGAAACTTCCCATTCGGTTCGGATATTGGAATTTTTCGGAGCATCGGAGAGTACGAAGGGGCAAAGTAGTTTTGCCGGCTTAGGCGACAGCACGCGACATCGGAGTACCTTTTCGTGCAAAGTAACGGCGACCAAAGGACTTTCCCACTGCAGGGAAAAGAAAGTTTGAAACGCGATAAGCCGTCTCATTGTCGAGTGGCGTCTAAGGGGATGGAAAACTTTGCTAGAATCGGAGATCCAACTTTATTTGCAAGCACAAGATTCTGACGAATGATTCACGCTATATATATATATATATATATATATATATATATATATATATATATATAAAAGGAGAGATACGTTGTGTTACGTCATGTTTAAAGCAATGTGATAATCCTGAAGCCTTTGCAACCAGATCTTCCAATATAACTGTAAATTTTCTGCGCTAACTTCGTGAACCGTCGCTGGTCTACCATTGGTATAGGCCACCACTATCAGTCCTTTTTTTATCTGCAAATATTTGTAATTCCTTATTTTATGTCTTTTGTCTTTTGTCCTTCGAATGAACAATATAAGACATCGGTTAAACGTAGGCATTAAAGAAGGGACATTCTGTGACGTTTAAATCTTTATCGACATTTAAATATTTATAAAATGCTAATGGCAATCAAGGGATTTAATCACTTATTTACCAATACCTGAAATGGATATTTGAAATCGGCATTTAAAGCTCCGATGTAGGAGGCCAGTTGAAATGGAGCGTCGTATGTAGAGCCAATGGTGTTTTTTTCTTTATCTGATTTTTTCCAATCTATCAAGCATACGTCGCCCCTGAAAATATATAAACATCAAGGATTAGATGGTTTGAATTTTAATTTTTAACTGCATAGCTAACGACCAGCTATCGTCATCCTGTGCAGGATTTATATTTATGTATTTTCCGTTCGTAGAGCCATCTAGTACAATCGGGTAAGTAAACTGTTGACACAATCGGTAAGTCAACAATCTATTTTACCTATAATTGGCAATGCAATCCACAATTCCTCTGTACTTCAGCACTGGGTGAATAACATGAGATTCGAGTGCTCTTACATTATCCACATTTTTAAACACATCTGACAGACTAGAAAATGATTGTTTAATTTTGTCAGATATCTTGTAGGGCTTTTTATACAGGGTATTCATTATCGCCAAATGCAATTCTTTACCATCTTCGAACAATTCTAAAACAAACGAGGGGCTCTTTTCTTCTTAATGCTTATGGGAGTGAAATTGAAAATTTAGAAAAAGAATATAGAAAGAAAAACCTGCTTGATAGATTTCGAATCCTCTTAAACCCAATTTCTCAATCATTCTCATTTTCCATTTTTCAAGTATCGCTTTTGCTGTCTCCGACATTGTAGACGACAATATTTTAGTTACACTAGGATACTTTAAGTACAGCCCATTTTCTTTAGACGGTAATGACATAATTTCAGAACTGTCGGTCCACTTGCTATCGAAGCTTTTGCACTCTTGAAATAATGGAAATTCTAATAATTTTTGTACAATTATCTTTGACAGTAAAGGCATCGCCTCCTTATCTTGTCTTAGCATTAAATCCAAATCTTTTTCATGCGAGATATCTGATTTCTTATGAATAATTGCTTTAGCCTCTTTTTTAGTCTCGTCCGCTGAATCTAAATTGATTTTATCATTTATTTTTTGTTCACTCGATCTTTTAATAATTTTCAAATTTGCAAATGGTGTTATATATGTCAATTCGGAATTCAATAGCGATGGCAGTGGCTTTGATATTTTTCCATCCTCCTCCAATTTAACACGTTGCGTTTTCTCCTTCTTCGTCTCGAGCAGCTTACCAAATAAAATTTGGTCCTCCATTTTTCTCATTATCCATTTCTTACTTTTCTCTTTTTTTTTTGTGTCTTTTGTGCTTGCCTTTCGCGATCGAAGCCAGCATTTCGTTCTTTTGGACACAACACCGAATAACATAAAATCACAAGTTTTTTTACCCAACATAACCTCAATATTCTAATGCACTGCTAATGATGTCGAATAATTTATCATGTGGTGAAAAATATTTAACTTTTATTTGTAAAATTAGATCAACGCTTTACATAAATCGCAATTTACTATACGTACGTTGATGAAATTCTGTTTACAGATGTCACATTTACGTCAGTATCAGATTATATAAGTAAATATAATATTCTTTTTATTTTCACATTAAGTGCAAAATGGGGTCAGAACAAACGCTCATAATTAACACAACGTACACATCCGTACACGTACGCACGCGCGCGCACATATGTTTTTACACTTGACCATTGTGAAATGCTTTAAAAACAGTCTGTCTTTGTCTCTTCGAATCTTTCAATCAATTAAACTCGTCCTGACATCTGTTCGAATGTCGTTTAAATATCATGCGGCACACGACTTATAGTGTTTAAGGTTTAAGGGAGCTGCGAATTTTTAATTTTCATAATACCGCGAGTATCGAATAAATATTAACGAACAATTGCCAATAGGGACAAAAATTTTCATAAAAATTGCAACAATTATGCACGCGATAAACCTATCGCAGTTGCCAATCAACGGCCACGAATCGTTTTTGTTTATATTTTTGTTAATAGTGACGTTTTGTACTGAGGTGTAGATCATTTCAAAATACGTGCAGATCTATTACTAAAATTAGCGATTGCGATACACTTGTAATTCAGTATTATTTAAAGGATTAGTTTTTTACGATAAAAATTGTTGAAATTGTTCGAGAGATTTCAAATCGTCAATAGATATTTGAACGAAAGCTGAAAGTATGAAGATGAAGTGAAAAATAATCAAAATAGGTGGAATATTATATGGAATAATATATGGAAAATAGAATAGAATATTTCAATGAAAAAAAAATGCAAATGCTTAAAGCCATTACAATTGTCGTTGTTTCTTATTATTATTATTTTTTTTTTTTTGGTTATTATTTACAAAATTTTCAACATCATTTTTGAAATGTCACAGGTTTAAGGAACTGCAAAATGTTTAGCGCACATCGTGAAATTTGATGTTACACAAGTATACGAAAAAAAGGAAATACTTATTTGATTTTCATTAGTATTAGTAGTTATAGATGAGCATGATTATTCCAATATTATTATTCCCACTTTATTAAGCATTTTTGGATTATCTTTAAGCTTATCTTAAAGCTTAACGTACGTTTAATTAACGGAAAAGCTTAGATGTGAATTAATTGTAATAATTATGGAAAAGTAAATATTTGTAAAGGCATACAATTCTCTTATTCACGCTTTTATATATATATATATATATATATATATATATATATATATATATATATATATATATAAATCGAACAATCATGTTTGTAAATGTGAAATGTCTCAAATTAAACCAATAATTTTTCTCAATTTTTAAAAAGAAAATTGAAGAAATAAACGTGTCTGATTTTCTTATATTTCCTGCTTTATATAACATCTCAAATTATCGATGAAATTACGTGCTACGAATACTTATAAGTTCACCTTGTAATAAACAATCTTTTTATGTTAATTAATATGTTAATTATTTTGGCGCGGTTTTGAAAATTCATTAAAATATCATTTTTAAAAATTTGAATACTTTGAAATAATTCATTTCACCAAAAATTCTTTTAACCAACGTATGGTCCAGATTTCCAAATTGTTAACAACTATACCGAACTCGCTATAATAAAAGATATTTTAACTTTATCTATATAATTGCCCTTACTTGCACTCTTACACTTTTAAATTACAAAGTTTTTACATATCTTATGCGGTAATAATTCTAAAATCGTTTAAAATCTTTCTTCAATCACATATTTAAATTGGTTGTATTTAAAAAAAAAATTATGATTTCTTGCATGATAAAGCAATTTATTCAATTTAAAAAACAAAGAGAAAAACGTTGGAGGAGCTCAGATTATAATATTATCATAATTTTATTATTAACAAAGAATATAAATCTATTTTTATTAAAAAAAAAATTGTCCTTGGTCGTATCTTCTATCCCTTTACTTATTATTTTTCTTCTTCTCTCGACAATTGTTTACAATTTCTATACTCTCTAATGCCAATACGATCGGTAGTCCGATCGATTTCCCGCGCGAGTTACGTAAGCAGAATGTGGATGAAAAAGAAAAGAAAAGAAATATACTTGATCTTCAAATAAGTATTTCTCAACTCTTATCTCAAGCTTTTATAGCAGAAGGAAGAAGAGCTAACACTATGGGTATTCCATTGGGTCGCATCGATAACGACGAATTATAATTCATGAATTTGCGGCTTCCAGTTTCAAAGTCTACCAATGCATTGATATTGCATGAAAAGGGAACGGAAAACTCACGAACGCGAGTTGTTGAAAGAGTTAAATTGCAGTATTATATAAATAGAATTTCGTTATGTGAAAAAAGCTCATTATAACGGAAGTATCTAAATTATTGCACTAGACGAGTGATAAGGTAATAAAATAACATAAGGCAGTGTCATCTTACGCGTCGTATGTCCCTCTCGTTGGATCCAGCGAATCGTAAGATGAGCCGCCCCCGTTTTAGCGAGACCCCGTGTCCGTCCCCGTGACAAGCAGGCTAATTAGCATTAGTTTAATATTTGCCAGTGTTTTACAAGCGTAGATTTAATCGGTGAGATATCCATCCCCTTAGGTGGTGGTAGTGGTGGGGGGGGGGGGCGCGGTTTTCATTCGTCAAAGTGGGGCGAGGAAGTTGTTAGAGTTTACGAACACGACTCTTTGTCTTTGCGATGTCTTCCTTGGGCGGAGACGCTACGGGTATGATCAAATTGTGCTTCACGAATATTATTAATAAGATTCCTTGGCAACGTGCCAATGAGTTTAATGTCAATTTTTTTATAGGAAGTACTTTGCATTTTGGACGAGCAAGATTTTTAGTCAATGTTACATTGTAATATGTTGTACTCGGTTGAAAATCGAATGATATGTTAATTTACATTGATTCGCGTAGTGAGCGCGTAAATTTTTATATCTCAGCAATATTCGCGCGCGAATCGTGAGAAATGGAATTTGATTAGATAATTTAAATTAGCATAAAATACTTTACCATCGTTAAGTGTCATGTGCGATGATCGCACATTCATTACTTATTATTACGAGGCTGCCTCGAATACCATTGAGTGACTGGCTTTTGTCATTTATTTTTCATCGTATTAAATTAATCTCATAGTTTCATCACATATTAATAGCCGACTTGACAATTTTTGTTTGCGCACCGTTTTTGAAATCTATGTGAAAAGAGCACCAAATGCCGAATAAATAGCAACGCATAAAGAGACGAGCAAGATTTATTAAAAATAAAAAAAATGAATGGAAAAAGAATAAATAAATTGATAGAAAAACAAAATAAATAAATAAATAAATAAATAAATGATTAAATAAAAGACCGTGGACGCAAGAGGGTATAATACATTTTCAGAGGCCGATGGATAATTAAATTATATTTAAGCCGTCGTTCTCGAGGCAAAGAAATGATTTTATCGACGACAAGCCATCGATCTGAAGCGAATCAATGTCTCTTACCTAATATCGATCCGATCTGTCCACCGATGAATTTACGAGATCATTTCGATTAAATCCGGACTAGACGTTCCAGATCAAATAATTGAGGTGAATTATTGTGTATATAAATGTATATAAGTATATGAACGGTCGTATAAACTTTTAACAATAAAACATGTAGTTACACTTTGCAAAGAATTGCCTCGTATGACGCCAACAACAAAGATGTAATACCATTTCGAAATGAGTCAATCCTTGGAAAAGTTGGACGCACACCAGAGGTATTTATTATCGAGAATTGGCGAACGACGTGTACTCTCGATGAATAGCCGCCGCTCTCATTATGCACAAAAGAAATAAATAAATAAATTAATTAATTAGTTAATAAACAACAACAACAACAACAACAACAACAATAATAATAATAATAATAATAATAATAATAATAATAATAATAAAGAGAAGATGAAGATGAAGAAGAAGAAGAAGAAGAAGAAGAAGAAGAAGAAATTAATTTGTGACGGACGGCCGCTCTTAACGAAAAACAGAAAGATTTTCGTGCGTCGCTGATGAATAGTAGCTTCAAATCATGGGAATATGGGTCATGGAACGTTTTTTCTTTTCATTGCGGCTATTATCGTTGTTGGTATTGCGGCCCGAGAAGCCGCTAATCGTGTAGCTCAACGCCTCGCGTCGAGTTTAATCAGGAAGGACATCGACGGGATAATCTCGGTAGGAGTGTCGATGTTGCGGATGCATGGATGAAATGGACGGCCGTTGGGTTAAGCTACTTGGACCGAGGGTCGCGATTAATCGCGGAATTTCCTTCGGGAATCAAAAGCAACGCGACGGCTCTATACGATAGATCAGTCCGCGGACACGGCCGTAATTTATCTCGCGCCCGACTCGCCTCGTACATTCCCTCGGATTTTTTTTCCTCTTTTGTTTCTTTTTTTTGTTTCTTTTTTTTGTTTCTTTTTTTTGTTTTTTTTTTGTTTTTTTTTGTTATTTGTTTTTTTATTTGTTTTTTTTATTTGTTTTTTTATTTGTTTTTTTTTTTTTATTCCACGGCAGCGCGGCTTTGTCTGTTTTTTCTTTCCCTGGCTGTCCCTTCCCTTCCGCGTACGTTCGATACAATATCCCCGGCGGGGCTCGAACAAATCAATGCCGAAGGACGGCCTTTAATGCGCCGCCGGGATTTCGCAAGTCAAATTTAAGAGGCGCGGCGGGAAAAGTCGCGCGACCTTTCGCCTCGCGGGAAAAACTCGTGCGGCTTTCGTCAGAGTTTCTTCGGCGTCGATTTCTCAATCGTAGGCGCGAGCGGCCCTGTCCGACTCAGCGAACATCCGAATCGTCTGCCACTCGAATAGAATTGATATATTACGTTGTAATATAGAAAGGGATTGCTCCTAGCACTCGCGGATATACGTCCTGGGGCCTTTCGGTTCCGCTCGCGTCCGAGGAGCCGCTGAGACAAGTAAAGGTAATCGCGAGGGCAACGCTCACCTCCCGCTCCGGTCTTTCTAAAAATATTCATCTGATCCGAAATCTCGTATACGGACGATACGCTCTACTGCTTTTATTATTTATCGATTGATTTGGACGAATTAGTTATTAGTTTAACTAGTTCATGCATCATAAATCTGATAATTCTATGACTTAAACCAAGTTATCTTAATTATATTACAAACAATAAAGCCTCTATATCTGTTTATATTTTTTTTCTTTTTCTTTCTATCTTTCTTTCTTCTTTTTCTTTCTTTTTTTTTTCTTTTTTCTTTGTTTTTTTTTTTTTTTTTTTTTTTTTTTTTTTTTTTTATCAGATTTATGATACAACTATGTATGAAATAGTCAACGCTCTATTGTTTTATAAAAGTGATTGCATTTTATTTCATACTTTCTCGTGTGAATAATTGCTCTCGATTATAATGCCTTCAATTATAATTACAAATATATAGTTAATGGTAATGATTTGACGCATAGAATTACACTATGACATAAAATATTGAACTCGTATGATTCGTGCATAGTTAGAACTACGGCGATAATCGAAGCTTTACCACACAATTGCAATTAAAATATCGAAAATATAACTATCATGAATGAATAAACTATAGAGTTGGTATATGAAAAGAAAAAAAAAATTACATGGATATGAGTTTCATCAATTTTTTTTTCTTTTTTTTTTTTTTTTTTAATAAAAATTCGATGTTAATGTTAGAATATATTTTCAATCGTTATATACGATAAGGTTTCTTATCCTATTTTTTCTCTCCCTTTTATGTAACTGCTGCTCGAACTCTTTGAAACTATGGAATTCTTGCACGATCTATTTATTTCAGCCAATGGGAAACTATTTGTTTTTATATTATCAATGTTCCAAAAGAGGTAAATGCTTTTTTTTTTAATTGAACATAATTGTTTCAAATTTTGTATTTATAAACGACAGATGTTCAAATTGCATGAAACAACGCAGTATTTAGAAGTGATAAAAGTCAAGTAATTGCCAGTGCTTCAGCAAATGGTATTTCTAAGACATTTTAACAGTATAACAACAAGCGACACAAAAAAGATCTTTTTTCTTTATTCGAATAATTCGTCTTTTCGTTTTGCTATTATTGCGCTGGCCCTGATCGCAAGAAAGAAAAGAATTGTCACGCCTAAGTGCTTGGAATTGGGCATCCTTTTCAGATTTCTCCCGTTATGAGAGTACTGATTAGACCCAAGGCTCGTTAAACCCTTCCAAGCAACTACGATCGGAGCTGAAACGAAAGTTCGCCAGAAAAAAGAAAATTACCGTATCCTTGCTTTCACACAGCTGGAATAGGCATTTCGTCTGGCCAGGCAGAATCCTATAATTTGGACAAGATCTTATCTGCATCGATGGCCCCACATCTCCGTTGATAAAAGGTGCAATCGCGACAAAGGGCAACGTTAGAAAGGCAAGATCGCCTTTCCTTCCCATCCCCGTAGAAATGGGTGTGATCGCGCGGTAGGGTGGGATGGCCGCTCTCTATTTCTCTCTCTCTCTCTCTCTCTCTCTCTCTCTCTGTCGCTCTGTATGCTTGCACTTTTTCTAGTGCTTCAGTGTTAGTGTTTGTGTGTGTATATGTGAGCAAGTAATTGGATATATATATATATGCGTGCGTGCGTGCGTGCGTGCGTGCGTGCGAGCATACGTACGTGTTTGTATACATATATGTGCGCGCGTGTGTGCGAGTGTGAGTGTGGGCGCGCGAGGGCGGGTGGGAGGGGGGGGGCGCTCAAGGGAGATCGGCGGCCACGCGCACGAGACTTTGTTAGTATATAAGCTAGGCGTGACCGTCGGTACTCACATCAGTCGGATCGTAACTATTCCGCAGGAGCAGATCGAAATCCACTTCACTATGAAGACCATCGTGAGTATCGCGGATGCGCTGAGATTCGTTACGAGGACGTAGCTCTTCCCCCATTGAGTTATCGAAGCGCTCATTCTTTCTGTAGTCGCGGATCGGGCGTTTGTCGGTAGCATTTCGAATCGAGATTTTGGCGCGATCGAAAGCGCCGTTTGATCGAATCGGACTCTTTGCTCAATTATCGCAATACTTTTACGGACTTTTGTCGATACGATTTTTTCTGCTTCGTATTTGAGAGCTTACGATCAATTGATGATAAATATTAACGAAATGAAAAGAAATGAGCAGTATAGGTTAGCAGTTTGGAGATTATATGTTCTTTACCAGCAATTATAATATTGAAAATAAAGTACTTTTTGTTATTTTAATCTTTTCGGATTTACTTATTTACGATTCGAAACGATCGATTTATCTGCTTTGTTGATTTATTTTATTACAATTTTGATCGGTTAGGATAGTATACAAAATTAGCGGCACTATATAAATAGTAGAAATTACTATAAACTTCAATTGTAAATTGTTTTTATATTTATTTCTTTGGCAATAAAACATAAATAACATAATTATTAACAGTGATGATAAAGATAGAATTTTTTTTTAACTCACTTTACTCTTACTTGTGTGTAATAAGATATAAATAAAATTGATTTCTAATTGAGTAGATTGAAATTTAGAACAATCAATTATTAAACCACTTTCTCTGTGTTTTATTTCAAACTCATAGCGAATATTGGAAAAAATTTGTCATTTTAATAGAAATTTTTTGCTTTGATAATTCACGATTCAATTAAATTTTGTAGTTAAATCGTATTTCAAACGACCGATCGAGGATATTTGTTATTATGGAAAGCTTTGTAAGTGAGTTATTATACCGTAATTTGCAAGACAAAATGTACATAATTATTCTTTCGATGGATGAATATATCATAATTTAGGCGCATTATTTCATGTTTCATGAATAATTCGAATCGATAGAATAAATCAATAAGTATTAACAAATGAATTCAATTGTCTTAATGTCGATCGACCAATTAGGCTTAAGTTCCTAATTAGTCAGTATATTAAAAAAATAATATACAATACGCTGATATTTGCATCAAATTTCGCTCTTTGGCAATCTAAAAAATCTTGTTAAAATGAAAGCCACAAGTTTTTAAGCGTTGAACGAGTATATAATAATTAAGAATACAGATATAATATAACTATTATTTTCATGATACGCTTACATTGTTTTGAACGTCTTAGTTTTTAAGATACTAATTGCGTAAGTGCACATATCTCAAAGTTTCGAGGAATTAGAAACAAGATTAGAGTGGGAGTTTTGTAGTCAAACTAATTTGAATTTCGTATAACTAATTACTCAAGATCCTAATTGCCATCATCGCCTCTGTGGCTTCGCCTATTTACGCCGAGGAGGCTGTTGAAGTAAAGAAGCAAGAGAAGAGAGGAGTACTGGGTCTGGGATATGGTGGTTACTATTCAGGACTTGGAGCTTCGGGACTTGGAGGCTACGGAGGCTATAGAGGTAACACGAAGTGACTTGAAATTCTCTTAATTGTTTTACGACTTCTGTCGATATCTCTTCGATTCACTGCACCTTTCTCTCTCTCTCTCTCTCTCTCTCTCTCTCTCTCTCTCTCCCTTTTTTAATCATCCGACCAATGCGATGCATGCAAACACGTTTCATGGCATTTCTTTCATTTATCGTGAACATCGTTATAATTGCTGATGCTATTAAACAGAATTTTTTTAATATTTTGTAATTGCAGTTAGGCCATACTGCTTCTGTAAACTAGATTTTGCTAGGATAGTAATTGGTAGTAATTGATTTGCTTCGAAGTTTTCGAAGAAATGAGAAAAATTATAACTACTAGTGTTAAAATATTTTGCAAGACTACTTAGTAAGATTTTACTGCATCGTATTCGCGAAGAGCGCGAAACCATTAATCTATCAATATTTCATTTTGATTTATTATTCATTATTATTTAATAATTTATCGGAGGTTAGTCGAAGGTAGTAAGTAGTTATTTCGCGCTTAAATTGCATTAAGCGAGGCCTTTCGTAAGTGTAGAATAAGGTACACTTCGGATCAATTACCACTGCCTCGGGATCGTTAAAATTTACAAAAAATTTGTTTCGCGTAAATAGAAATTTGAATAATTAGCCAAGATTAATTTTCTTACGACATAGCGAGAGCTTTCGCATCCAGCTTTGAGAATAAATAATAGATTGCCGGCGCGTATAAGGGAAGCCAAGTTGAGATGATAAACCATACGAATTGAGACGTAAGGTGGTTGTGTTGGTGGTAGTGGCGGCGGTGGGGGGGGGTGTATATAGCAAGAGAGAGAAACTGAAAATAAAAGCACCAATAAAACGAATAAAGGATCTAGAGAAAACGGCAAAATGATCGTGACGGTAAATGGCTAGTACCCGAAGGCAAACCTCCGGTTGAGTTCGTGTTCGTGAGCGAGTCTAAAGCACTTGTGTCACCTCCTGTTTCAGGCTATGGCCACTACAACGCGCCTCTCGTGAGCCACGACAGTCTTCTTGCGTACTCTCACGACCCGGCCGTGTCCTACGGCAGTCACCTGGGCTCAGGATACCACGGATCCTATTACGCTTCGATCCCGCGCCACGGCTACAACGGACTCGGCTACAGCAGACTCGGATACAGCCACGGCCTCGGCCAAGGACTTAATTACATCCACGGTGGCAATTACTGGTGATTCTTATCGCCATGTTCTCGGCCACTTGCGTCCTCTACCAAACAACCGGCGACTCCGCCCGGACTCAGCCACGGCCGATCGCTCAATCAACCTGTCGATCATCTAACCATATACGCATACCCTACTACGCATTACTCAATAAACGTTTATACCTTCCTTTCTAATACGTATATTGTTATTTTCCATTTATTTATCCCTTACTCCAATAGTTTAGCGGCTCGAACAATTAGAGCACTTCTTTGTATATATAGAGAGGTGCCATTGGTATTGCGTTTTATAATGTCTTTCGACATTTTCATTAGGCTTCGAACATAAATCGTTCGATATGGCGTGTCGTATTAATTTGGCTACTGCACCAATGGCCATTTATTAATGTAATAATCAATCGATAGGAAATTATTGTGTCTTTGATTAGAGCGTACGAAGCGTTGATTTAGTGTCGTTATTATTGGGCGATAAGTGATCCCGAAAGTGCCACTGTTCGTTTCACCCTATCTGGCATAACCGACCTGTATTTTTATTTTTTTATTTTTATTTTTTATTAATGTATAAGAATAGAATACATAAGGCAGCAATCGCTGTCATTATTACTCAATGCTTTTAAATGATAAATCAAAATGACTTTACAAATTGTCCTTTCGAAAATTCGAGTGTCTCGAAAAATGGCAACAAAAAAAAAAAAAAAAAAATTGGATCGATGTGATGTTTTTGAACGCGCGTTAAACAAAATACGAGTCCTTCTAACGATTAAACATCGACAATGATAGCGATTCGTGCAAACGCAATGCTTGCGTCACGATTCTGACAAAATATACGATTGTCACTGCACCTGTCGTCCAGGATATTCTAATTTACGGTCCCATTATGAATGCTGCAAGCATATATCCTAACGAAATGCAATAGATGTCGGCACAAAGATTTCAAGATTCATACGACGATTATAGGAGAATTCTCAGGAAATATAAAACGTATGCATCATTTTTTATTAAAAGAAAAAAATAATAAAGACTCTCATGAATTACTACAGGTACTTTAATTATTAAACGCTGATTTTGACTAATTGCAATAGAAATTAGAAATAATAGCCTGTAGTGTAAATTAACGAAACGCTCTAATTGAGATTTTAAATTTCTGTTCCAAAATGTATTTTTTAACAATGAACTTTGTCGAGCATTACGTTATAATTGACGAAAATAACGAAAGAGAATCTTTCAATTTGTCCAATCGTATTACGATCGACTAGTAATAAAAACTCATCTACAGACTATATGTTAATATGGTAAAAATTAAAAAAATTTATTAAATACTCTTGGAGGAAAAAGTTGCCACAATAGATTTTGAAACGAGCATTGCAATGTTTGGATATTTTTCTTGAGAAATATTTTATTTATGACAAAGTTTCTTTTACTTCTGAATTTATAAAATTTAAGTTGCAAAAATTATTCCATTCTCGTCTATCAAATAATCAACAGTTTTGATCATTCAACATACACTTTATTTGTCGCTGTTCTCCTTAATACAAAGGAATTTCTAAAACAAGTAATTATACTTTATGGTAAACAATTTTAAACGTAACGCTCTCATTTCATACTGGTATTTAAATATTTTACTCTAACAATTATATATTTTAAATTTCTTTAAGAATTCATATGCGTCATTTAATATTTTCTCTTTATTTATTTTGTAGATCAGTTGCTAAATAAAATTAATAAAGAAATTATTTTGTATTGTTTGTCATTATTAAATTGCAAAAAGAGACTTTGAAAGTTATAATTACGAAAATATCGTCACACAACATATAATATTAGAAAAATCATTAACATAATTCATAATTTTATAATTAAACGAAGGTTATATAATTAATACGTTAAATATATATGAAACATTCATATCGTTTACTTCATAACAGATAAATTGTTAACAAATGCATAAAATAAACATGGTTTCATAATATGATTAAATAATAAAGTCGAAATATTTATAAAAAAGAAAAAAAACTACGTTATATTTATTATGCTTTATTATTATTTATTATTTATTATTTATTTATTTATATTATTTATTATACAATTATATATAAAAATTCATTCTGACCTTATATAAAATGTATTATATTTTTTAACCTATTATAAAATAATAAATGTTTATATAAACTTCGTTAAATTCATTCAAGCGATTGTAAATCCTATAATTTTAAAGAATTTAATCTATGAATAATTGTAATAAAATATAAAAAATACGGTATTTAAAATATATTAAAGCGTCTTAACAAAGTTGAGTATTAAATAAACTTGTAATACATAGTTATGCGTATAAACATTTTCGTTTATTGTTCCAAACTATATACAAGAATTCATGTCATTATTACATTGTTTCTATAGACTCTGGAATTGGAAATTCTCAGTTGTGAAATAATCGAAGGCTTTTATGAATCTATGAAAAGATCTTGTGTGTCTCACGAGACAGGGAGGACGTGAGAAAAGACATAATAGTAAATTGTATATGAAATAATGAAAGCAAAAGATATAAGGCTTAAAATTCTACGAGCATCTTACGTAATTGCTAATTAAATATTATATTAAAACTTTTTTATAATTTTAAAAAATTTTCAAATAATATTCAGTTAAAATTTACTATTAAATTTATTTTTTATATGAAATTTTTAAATTTGAAATTTATATCTATATATATGTATGTATGTATTTATATAGCAGGAATAAAAAATTATGATATAACCTGTGATTAGTTGAAAAAAGATTCAGAAAACTACAAATAGATAGCAATGCGTTTATTATGGTATTGTGAAAAAAATGACTAATCTCATTTAAGTGACATGATTATCCATTATGCTGTTTATTTAATTAATTTTTCGTCGTCAACGGCTTCTAATAATATTAATTAAGTAAGTATTCGTAAATATTTTTCATTTTTTCTGATCTTCATGAGATTCTTATAACTTTTTCGACAGAATAATTTCTTTTCATGAGTACAATAAAAATCATGATACGGTACCGTGAATGCTAATAACTATTTTACGATATAGTAAAAAATTATAATTTACTTGTATTATTATAACTATAAGAATCTTCGTTACACTCGAATAGACAAACAAAAGTTGGAAAAGCCCGTAAAAGCGAAAATATACCTTTAAAAATCTCATGAGTATATTAATTATTTTAAAACTACAGAAAAACCGAGATAATAAAATTATGCAACGTTCAAAGTTTAATTTAAATTTAATTATACAATAACTGTATAAGTACTGCGGTAACTATTTACACGGAAAATGCATAATATGAAGATTACACGAAAGATTTTATTAACTAAATGGATTTCTTCTATGAAATTTATAAGAAAATTTCATACACGAATTAATATTACAATTACAGTATACATTTGTATCTTGATAATTTTCTATTAGATACATAAACATAAGTGTGCAAATATTAATACAACATTATGCTTGTTAGTTGAAATAAAATGAATATGATAGGGATTATTTTATTAACTTTGTTATGTTTAAATAATTTTTTATTTTATTTGTAAAGTTATTCGTTTATACATTTTTTTAAATTATTACAATCAACATGTATTTTAATAAAATATCTTTTTATGATAATATGTGAATAATACTGAATATTAAATTAATTTAATTAAATTTATTTTAAATTACTAAATAATAATTAAATTAATTCTGTAATGTAATTTATTTCGTATCTTCAATCGTAATAAATCACGTGCTAAGCTTTCATGTTTTTATGATTTAAAATTTATATTTTTTTTATATTACAATCAATAGTTTAGGAACGGACGATGAATATTCTTTAACCCTAATAAGCATAATAATAATTATTATAATTATATGATTAAAATTAAAATTATAATAACGTTATATTTCAAGTCATTAGCAAATGATTTCTACAATTAGATAAATTAAAAAAATATTATGTTTTTAATTATAACACGAAATCTAATAATAATTTATTCTTTTTTTACTTTCCATTCTATAACTCTTTGCTTGTGATGTATATAATATAGAAAACTGATCTATAAAATCTATTTTGAAAAAAGCTTTGCTATGAATAATGTATAAAGTTTGATAAGTCTAGCGACAACTTATATGTAGATATAAGGATAAAAAGTCGAATGTTTCAAAAGTATTTATACGTGTGTGTACACCTACACCTGTACATTTATTATTAAGTACTATAAAAATTATGACTTTCGTATATTTATATAAATATATGTATATATTATACGTAATGTCGTAATGCTTATTTGCTGATTTTTATTCCAGACAAAGTATTTTATTTATATCTACAGTGCAACAGTAGTAGATTATGATAAGGTTGTATTCGATTTCCAAGATATTATAATATCGAATGTAATATGGAATGAATTTGATCAAATAGGAAAACTTTCTCTAAATAAAACATACCCAATACCGCCAGCTATGCGATATTAATATAAATAAAATACAATAACTATATATTGCAAATGTTTTATTTTTAAGTATTAAAAAACATGGTAAAGGAAGTAAAAATTAATTTTACAATCATTAACTATAACGAATATTGTGAATTTGGTACGATTATAGCGATGACTAAAAAAACATTAAAAAAAAAAAAAAAAAAAAAAAAGGAATTTTTAGCATTTTTTGCTCACCTCTTATATTTTAGTATATTTGGTAATATTTGGTAACAATATTTCGTGAAAAAAGATTAAAAATCCAAATAATTAGAAATTTTCTTTTCTTTAGAATTAAATTATCAATTCTATATAAATTTGATTGTTAGAAAGATTTAAAGAGTCAACAATTTATACTTTAGTATTGATTTTAATTCATCTAAAGAACATTGAATTTCAAATAAATTTTTTGTTTAATTCAGTTTGAAAATTGAACATTAATTTCATTAAAAATTTTAATTAAGTTCCAATAGAATTTTTTCTACAAAATTTAATTTAAATATTAATAAAACATTAGTTCACAATTGAAAACGAATATTATGTTTACAAGTTGAAATAATAAATGTAAGTATTCACATAGATTAAAATTTTCTTTTTATAATCTATAAATTCGCAATTTATATTAAAAAAAAAAATGTTTTCTTTTATTTATTGCTTAAAAGTTTATACTTAAAACTGTATTCTGAAGTATAATTAACTATGTAATTTTGAAATAACTTACAAAAGTTTTATGTCAATATCAGACATATTTTAACTTTAATTGTTGTTCTGTATGTACAAAATGACATATATGACGAGTCAAATGTAAATATATAAACGTAATATTATTATTAGAAATAAAAATAAAATCGAAATGTTTCCCTTTTTAATAACATCACATTATAGGAAAATGATACAAATTGTAAAATATTTGATAAACCGATTTTTAAAAAAACTCTATAACTAAGTATTATATGACATATATACATAAAATTTTATAGGAATTCTTTATATTATTTTTACACTGCACGTCCGCTTACAACACATAGGAAGCAAAAAAAACGGTCATTTATGAAAAATTCCATCCCCTAACGTACGATTTAGTACGAATAAAAGAATCGCTGCGGTGCTGCCATTTTCTGTCTCGATTGTGACTTAATGTCAGCATAGTTAAAAGCAGGTTCGGTAGGTAATTTTTTAATAAAATTGTCATCTCAATATTATATCAAACTTGTATCCAAAATTAGTAATGAGTCATTTATATTCGGATATAATCACCAACTGTGATTATTATTAAAATAATTAGCATATAGTAATTATTGGTAAGGAAGATTTTACGATTACCAACTGTTGACATTTTACTACTACACTATCATATGAAATATGGAGTGTTTGTTGCATGGTGGATGACTTTGAATGTGATAAACAATTATGTTGTACGTTAGTGAGATGAAATAGTTATTAATTTATGTTAAATATTCGTTAAAATGAACATTATAACACAGAGTTTTAAACGTTTAACTGAAACTTTTATTGGACAATCTGTAAAAGGTAACGAATGAAAAAGTATTAATAACGATCTAACCTTCAAATACCTTTTAATAATTTTTAATTTTATTCACATGTAATTGGTAGATGCTTATTGTGTTAATAATAATTTTATTATTACAGGAAATTCTCTATTTACGTTATCTAAATGTAATTATACAAATTATACTGCAGGTAAACCCTTTTTTCCTTATCATTAGCATAAGGTTTTGATAATTAATTTAAAGAATACTTGATAAAATGTTTGTACAGGAGGAGGTATAGTGGCAGTAGCTAGAAACTGTTTATCAAATACAATCCAAGGTAAATAGTTCATATAATTCTCATTATTAATAAGCTAATGAAATTTAATTTTATACTACATTAATTGTTTGTTGGCAATGATATGAAAGTAAAATATATTCAAAAGCAACATTTATGATTATCTTTTTAAATTAAAAAAAATTATACGTTAAGAATGCATTAATCATTCAAAGTTTATTGTCTTTTGGTTCGATTATATTTTAAAATAGTAAATATTGTATTTTACGAATTGAATATGATATACATTTATTGAATTCAATGTTAATTATAATTGGTCTCTATTATTTTATTTTATTAAGTATTTTAAACGAATTATGTTTTTTCACGATATGCAGAGTACGTAATTTAGTTAAAAAATTTTTCATCCTTTTAAATATTATGGATATTGAAGCAATATTGTTCATACTTACATATTATCAGTTTTCTCAAATGTATTTTCCAGATATTACTTGCCTTGCATAAGTAGACAAATATAAATCTTAATACGATTGCTTAATACCATTTATAAAGTAATAATTATTAATCCATCAATTATCTCTATCCAAAGATTCTAATCGAATACAAAAATATATTTAAATTTGAAAATCATATTGTAAGCATTTATCAGATTTGCTACTACTAGTTGACTTTATATCCTTTATTCATTTTTAATATTAAATAGATATTAAAGTAGATGAAATATAATCTACACCAATAATGTTGAATATTTTTCTTCTTCGAATAACACATAATGTATTTGTATAATTAAAAAAAAAAATGACCACCAGACTTTCATTTTTTTTTTTTTATATAAAGCTAAAGAACAGCTGACCAAGTAGATAGTATTCGAGTATTTTCAAAATTTGTCACTACACGAGTACTATCCACTATGAAATGATTAAAGTGGAAAATTGAGTTACACTTGATTTTATTAGTTGGCAATGATATTATCATTGACATTTAAAATACTTTTGTTAAAAATATATAATGCATTTTTATTAATTTATATTAATTAATAAGATTGCGCTATCAGTAAATTGTCATTTTTGGTCAGTATTAATAGCAATAAACGCCATTAGATTATTAAGCAATAGTAAAGGTCGCTTAAAAATTTATGGAAATGATTTATGTTTCTTTGAATAGCATTATCGACTTATTACGTAGAGCAAATTTTATCAGTTTGCACAAATTCAATATCGAACTGTTAAGTCGTCTTACCGTAAATGGGCAATAATTCGTCATGTTCTCAGTACAGTCGGTTTATGTGGATCGGTATTATCGGTAGTTTCTGTTTAATACCCGTAACCCTTGCAAATTTATGATGCATCGATGAAGCATAACCTTTTAAATTGTAAAATTAAGATCAGAGTGTTAAGGATATCTTAAGGACATTTGCAAG